ACGTGGTTCTCAGGCTGATTTCCAGGATCAGGTTTCCTGAGCGAGTGGCTGTCATTCTTGCGGATGCCTGTGTGTCCTTCAGTGCAGCCAGGGCCTGAGGTTTCCCGGAACCGCTCAGCATGGGCCAGAGAGCCTGTGGCCTCTGCTCTTGGTTGAGCACAGTCAGGAGGAACTGAGGCGGAGGCAGGTGTCTCGGGTCTCTGTGGGAAGAAGGAAGTTCCCAGGCCCATGTGCTGGAAACCCCGGCTCCGACCGCACAAGCTGCCGGGGCATCTGCTGGGCCAGGTTGCCGGCCCCTCCGCCCCTCGCCCAGCCACCTGCTGCTGCCAAGTCTGGGCCTCTGCCGTCCGCTGGCAGGGGCTGGCTTGGCTGGGGACGGAAGTTTGATGGAGAAAGTTATTAAGAGGCATTGCTCTGTCTAGAGGCTGGTGTTGGGCAGGCATGGACTTGCTCTTTCTGTAAATAGGGGCCTTTCCTAAAAAAATTACAGCTCGTTGTCTCGGGGTGGACAGGAAATTAAATCAGGGTGTTGGAGGGGGCTGGCGGGGGGAAGGAGGGCTGGACCACCGTCCAGCTGGAGAGGACCACCCGACAGCAGTCTGCCTGCCTGCACGTGAGGGGGGCCACGGGAGACCCGGGAGCTGGGACCGGTGGCTTTAGCTTGTCACAACCCCTCCGTCTGCCTCCAGGAGCAAAGCGGGCCTGACAGTAACTATAGAAATTACAATTATAACTATTTTATGTGGATAACACTGTGTTATATAATTATTGATTATAAGTATGTAACTAATATGAATAGTTATAGTTATGAATTACAGTTATTACTTATAATAATTATATAATTAATAGATTGCTTATTTAAATGATTAAATAAAATTATGGGTACAGTGACTATAGATAGTAATTACAAATGTGGGAAGTAGAACATCACTTTCTTATTGTGGGCAGAACACCTAGGGTGTGAAACGTGTTCTCAGACTCGCTGCTGATACGTAATCCCTGGTGTTCAGATACATTTGCTTTTAAACCTTTTGCCTTGTCAACAAGGGGTCGCTGCCACCAACCCAGTGCAACAAGAGTCTCCAATCCAGGGCTCAGGAGAAGGAGATATTTTATGGAGGCAAATAGCTTGCAAGAGGGCATATGTGGCCTCTGTGCTTTCCGGAGACAAAGGGGAAGTGGGCTCGAATAAAGAAAGTGCCCACCCTGGCCCCTAAATGGTCCATTTCTATGCAAATGAAGAATCCACATTCGCACAGTCTGATTGGTCCAGGTAGCACTGCCTGATGGTTATGGAGCTTCTCGGATTGGTCAGTAAAGTTGCAAATGAGGATATAGCTGCATGACTCCGATTGGACAGGGCAGGTCTCAGCCCGTTGATTGAATGTGATTCCAGGAGCTCCTTTATAAGGGTCGGTGCACTGCAGTCAGGATCCTGGGAGCTGCCTGGCTTTTCCCTGAAACACAGCGTGTGTATGTGTGTATATGTGTGTACACACGTGTATGTGAGAGAGGGGCCTCTGTTGGCAACAGCTGCTGGACCCTGGTTGTGAGTTTGGGCCCTGCAGAGTCCTCCCTTGGCAGGTGTATCTTTCTTGGAGTCGACAGCACACAAACACATTTTATTTACTAACCAGAATTATACTCTGGGCATGTTTTAAACAAAATCTTCCTTTTGGGGAACATAATTTACATATAATAAAATGTGCATTTAAAACGTGTTTTCTTTTTTTTTTTTTTTGACATTTTCATTTCAAAATAATTTGAGTGGCAAAAAGGAAAAAGATGCAAAAGCAGAGTGCAGAAGTCCCGTGTGCCGCCTCCCGCACCACACGGATCCTCTGAGCTGGTTTTCCCGTCTGCTGTGAAGTTTTCTTTTTCAGGGACACCAAATGATCTTTACGCTGACTCATCTTCCTGTGGAATCTGAGTAATTCATCTTCATTCTGTTGCTTCTTTTTGAGTATTTCTCCTAAATCTCCAGTCACTGTGGGATCTGCAGCTGTGCTCCTGCGTCAGCCGCGTGGTCCTTGGCTGGGCTCCTACTGTTCTCCGCTCCGTGTTTACTCTTCACTCCCTGTGGTGTTGCCCGGAGCCTCCCTTTGTCTCTTTAGCTCTGGGATCCCAGTTTTCACCTCCTTCTTTAGTCGTGGGTCTCATCTCCAAATTCCTCTTTAGAACGCTGTCTTCTTCAGTCCTTCTAACGTAAGATGCTCTCCCAGGACATTCCGATTCTTTGGGTTGTTTTCTTCCAGAATGTTTTCCACTTGTCCTTTCCCCCTCCATCCCTGGGTCTTTTCTTCCCCCAGCCCGCACAGCCCTGCAGAGACACAGAGGAGCCAGCTGGCCCGAGAGGACATGTCCATTCCCGCGGGGCCTGGGAGCAGGTCTGGCCACCATGGCTTGAGGACCACGCACTTGGACACGTGAAGGCCGGTTCTGAGGTCAGAAAAGAGATGGCTGAGAGTCCAAGCAGCCGTGACCTGCAGGGAGAAAGGGGCCGGGCGCTGAAATCCATCACTGCCAAGCCCCGTGACGTGTCTGGCTAAACTGCATGGAAATAGCAAAAGGCTGCTGTGTGGTGGGCCCACCGGCCATCCCTGAGTCCCTGGAGAAGGATGGCCGTCAGTTTGCATTAGCACTGATTTCATTTTGCAGTGACCGTTGGGGCTTTGAAGAACAAGAAGAAGAACACATGAGGCCCTCACCTCATTGATCCCTGAGCAGTTAACTGCCTCACTGACCAGGAGTCCGTTTAATTAACTGGGGCGTCTGAGGCAGCAGCTCTTACCAGCGTGAGGAGGTGACTCACCTCAGGCCCCACGACCCAGTTCGCCCAGTGCAACTTCTCCGGGGGCGTCTGGGGCTCTTTGAGTTTGGGGGCTCACACTCCAGCGGCCCGGCCTCCGTGGGCGGCATTCAGCCACTGCCTGCTCTTGCTGCTCCGCTGGGATCCCAAGCTCCGGCAGCTTCTGGCCCCACTCACAGCAGGGCGACCACTCGTGCAGGAGCCCGGGTGCTCCGAGTGGCTCTGAGCTTTCAGGCCCCTTCCTCTGAGTGGCAGGGAGTCATCTGAGCCAATGCTGCAGGGGGCTCCGGTCGCCTTCCCCAGGCCCGGGTCCCAGGCCTCACAGGGGGAAAACGGCAGGAAGATGCCTGCTCCCCGCACGGTCACCTCCCTCCCAAGTGCGCAGGACAGTGAGGGTCCGGGCTGTGGCATCCACATGGCCTTTCCCCTCTGTCCCTGCGGTTGGGCCAGGGACCCCAGGACGGGGAGGGCGCCGGGGTGGAAGGGGTCCTCAGACCCCAGGCCCCCCATCCCTTGCAGGCCAGCCCCTGGCTCGGTGCCCAGGGACAGCCACGTGGGGGCTGCTCTGGGTTCTCAGAAGACTCTTCCTCGTGTCCGTTGGGTCCCCGGCCAGGGGCTGCCTCTCCCACCTGCACCAGGTGTCGGGGCCGCCCTGCCCCTTTCTTGCTCCCGGAACCCCCTCCCCGTGGGATCTGTTCGCCCAGACTGAGTGGGGAAGGAAGCTTCGCTGCAGCGGGGGCCGTTTTCATTACAATTAAATCCCGCACCCCATGGTCTCCAGCAGGAGCAGAGCAGAGTGAGGGGAGGGCAGGGCCTGCTGCCCTTCCGTCCGGAGCGGGTGCTTGGCTCCTTCCTGCCTCTCCCAGGCCCCGGCGGTCAGGGCCGCTTGCCAACGAGCTGCTTTAAACAAACACCATGGATGTCTCTGCATTTGTCAACTTATGATCAGATTAAGGAAAGGCACGAGCCTGCGGCGAACTTTCATTAAATTCTATTTGCTTGTGTCCTGGCCATTTATAACACTGCCCTTGTTTAAAAATGAAAAAAAAAACAACCCATACTTGGCAGCCAGGCAGAGTGGAAGGAGCACAGGCTTGGGGGTCAGACAGACCCCAATGTGAGCCCCCTGCCCAGCCTCACTCAGAACATGCGGATGAAACTTGGGCAGAGGAGCCCTGGCCGGGAAGCTCAGTGGGTGGAGCATCATCCCGCAAGCCAAGAATGTAGTTTCGATCCCCTGTCAGGGCACAGACAGGAATCAACCAATGAAGGCATCGGCAAATGGAACTATAGACCCGTCTCTCTCTCTCCCACTTTAGACAAAAGAAATGTGGAAATGGGGGCCAGAGGGTGCAGGGATTGGGGGTGGGGCCCCCACAGTCCAGGGGTGGAGCTGGATGCCATTCTGAGCCCAGGATGGTGGTCAGGGGGAGGGGAGGGGAACGCGTGTCTCCATGAATTAGAAAGATGGAGAAGCGCAGAATCATTCCTTGTCCCCAGGGCCCAAGAACCGTGAACGCTCCTATGACCTCCCTGCCCAGGGACATGGAGACGAGTGCCACACTGCTGTCCTCTGATCTGCGGGAAGAACCCCCCTCCTCCCCCGGGACCAGGGACCCAGGGCAGCACCAGCTGTCACTCCGCCTCTCCCTGAAAAGGCGCCACCTGGCTCCGTGGCCGCCATGTTGTCCCGGAAACGGAAGCCGGGCTCCGGCCACGGCGAGGCGACCCCTGGGGGCGGTGCACACCCCAGCCGGAGGCCTGCGCGGTCTGGAAGCCTGCCCGAGTCACGCCATGAGGGGGAGAAGCTGGAATGGTAAGTGACCACGGTTCTGCCCGGGGAGGCCCTCTGCACCCCGGGAGCTGGGCATCGCCTCACAAAGGCTTGGACTGTTTGACCGCGGGGCGGCCGGGCCGGCCCTGGGGCCCCGTCCTCGGACACCTGAGGGCCCTACTGTCCAGTGTGGGGGCAGGAGTAGCAGCTGCCCGGCCCTGTATGTGATAGGGAGGGGGAGGGGCAGGCCCTTTTCTGGTTTCTCTCCCGGGGTCCTGCGGTCTTCACCAAGCCTGTGTGGTCCGGGGGCTCCAGCACAGTCCAGGGCGGGGGAGGGTGGGGGCGCTGCTTCTCAACTCCGCCCTGGGGCCCCAGAGCCGCTGCACGGATGATACGTAGCAGGTGGGCGTGGCCGTGGCCATGTGCGGATAAAACTTTATTTATAAAAACGGGCCGGGGCCGTGCGTCCTTGTTTGCTGGCCTTACAGCAACAAGGAGAGGCGCCTGGCCCGCGTGAGATGCTGGGACAGGGATGCTGCCCTGACCAGTTCCGACTCCACGGACCAGACGTGTGTCTCTGTCACGTAATCTGCTCTGCACTGGCCTGACGCTGCCCTGTGGGCACAGCCTTGAGACACTGTCCGAGCTGAGATGGTGCTTTGCTTGCTCCTGGTGTCCAACCGGGCGACCACTGGAGGGGGGGCACATCAGCGAGGGCTGGCCTGCTGCTCTGAGACCCCGGGGGCATTTCTGCGGGGGGTGTGCAGCGGCTCTGGCACATGCAGAGATGGCCGTCCAGGCGGCTGCGCAGGAAAGCCTCGGAAAAGGCACGTGGTTCGGAGCCAGAGCTGACTGTGGGCCCCTCGGGCAGAGCCGCCCGGCTGGGAGGGTCCAGAGTCCAGAGGGCAGCCCCTCTGACCCACACCCACCAGCCGCCCAGGAGAGGGCCCAGCCCAGGATGGCGCGGGCCCAGCTGGGTCCTCTGGGCTCCGGCCCCCGGTGGGCGGGGAGGCCGGGCGGTGGTCAGTGCCGGACGTGCTTGAGCCAGTTCCGGATGGCCCACTTCTGCCCCGAGCAGCGCTGCAGCACCAGCCGCAGCCCGAAGTTGGCGTCCTTGGACATCTCCACCTCCAGGCACCTGCCGGTGTCCCGGCTCACGATGGGGCCGCTCTGCGGGGCGGGGACGCCGAGTCAGCACGCGCACCCGGGGCCGCTGTGAGGGCCTCCCGGGAGTGAGGGACGCGAGCCCGGGGTCCTGTCTGTCCCCACGTCTTTCTGTCCTCCCAGCTCCCCCCATCAGCCCTCCCACCTGCTGCCCCAGCTTCCCGGGGTCTGAGGGGTGACTGGGACAATGGAGCCCGAGGCCCTAAGATGCACATTTCCCTGCGTGTCCCTGCCTGTGAGTCCCCTGTCCTTCCCAAGCCATAGCCAGCCCTCCCTGTCCTGGCCCCTGGGGACAACTGGCCCTTGTGGGCTCCCTCCAGCAGCCTCCCTGTGACCGGAGCCCCAGTGTCGTGGGCCTGCTCCGCAGTGTGTCCTGGGCGACGTCACTGCCCGGCTGGGAGCTCAGGTGCGGGTGGGGGGTCGGGGATGGGAGGAGTGGGGCCTGCCTCGTGTGGCAGCGAGGACCCCAGGCAGGGAGCGGCCACACATGCTGCCCTGTTCTTGGGCGCAGGGTCCCAGCTGCACACTGAGGGTTCGAGGGCTGTTCACACCCAGGGTGGGGCCCATGTGAGGAGGGGTCGGAGATGCAAGAGGAGCCGGGTGTGCGGGGTCTGGCCCACCATCCAGGGGCCACCTCTGAACTGCCAGCCCAGGTCTCTGTCCTCAGGGCTTGGCTTCGAACCCAGCAGCCCCCAGAGGACCAGAGGGGTCGATGCCGGTGCAGCCGGAGCACTTGGGGTCTGGCCCCCAGGCCGTGGCCTGCAGCGGGGTGAGGGCTTCCCCCAAACCCCCCTCATCACGACGCTGGAGGAGGTGAGAGTGGGGGGTCCCCCCAGCGGGAGCAGCAGCAGGGCTGTGACCTGGCTGTGACCCTGTGCCTGTCACCTCACCCTGTTGAGTCAGGGTTCAGGTGGAGGCAGCTGATCCGGGCCCATCGCTGCCCCCACTCCCACCCAGTCTGCCCCACTGACCTGGGTGAAGTCCCACAGCCGCTGTGCCGGCCGGGCCACATCCTCGCATTTCTTCAGGGCGGGCGCGCGGGCCCTGCCGTCGTCCACCAGGCACTTGGAGTCAGGCAGGAAGGCGGTGGAGCCCAGGGGGCCCAGCTGCAGCAGGCCCTCGGTGCTGTAGCGCACGAGCTGCGGAGAGGCCGGGGGCCGGAGTCACCCTGGGCAGGGATGGCCCTGCTTCTGGCCTGGCCCTTCCGTCCAGTCCACAGGGTCCCTCTCAGCAGAACGCCTCAGTCCCTTCCCCACCCCTGCGGGGCCTGCAGCCAGCCCCCAAGGCCGCTTCATCTGCCCTCAACCAGGAGACAAAGGTGCCAGCACCGCCCAAGGTCTCACGTGCTGCGGCGCTAGTTCAAGTCGTTTGCAAACCACAGGCTCACAGCAGAGTACAGCCTGCATGCTCCTGCCCCCACCCAGACGCGCGACCTTGGGCCAGTTTCGCTGCCTCTCTCGCCTCGGTGCTCCTGTCTGTTGGCCGGTCTGACAGCACCCGGCCCCCCGGCTCTGGGAAGGACCCAGTGGACGCCAGTGGACGCCGAGTAAAGTGTGCAACCGGCAGCGAGAGCTCCCTGGGCCTCATCTCTCTGAGTGTGGCGCCTGCGCGGTGGCAGATGCCCCGCCCACAAGTGAGCTGGAGCCACTCAGCAGCCGGGTCCTGTCCATTTGTCCGTCCAAGACGCAGGGGAGCCGAGGCACCGGGGTCAGAGATGGCCTAATGTCTTGCCCCTCACTTCCCTGGGGTGTGTGCACGTGTTTGTGCGTGTGCACGTGCGCGCGTGTGCCTCCGGGGGGCCCAGGTGCTGACCGGGTGAGCGCCGCCCTACCTGGGACGCCATCCCGTGGCAGGGGTAGAGGATCGCTCGGTCATCGTCCTCCGCGCCCTGGTCCAAGCAGTAGCCGCTGGCTTTGCTGTTTCTAACCTACAACCCGACACCAGTGGAGAAGCCCTTGCCGGACCGTGCCAAGGCCATGCTGGGGGTCCCCTCCCACCCCGCCCCCTGACCTGGGCAGAGGGGTCTTCTGCTCTGGGCAGGGCAGGGGCTGGGGGCTGGGGAGGAGGTGTGTGTGGGGGGGCTCCAGGAAGGGGCTCACTGGGGCGGGACTGGTGGGCTCCTCGGTAGGTGTAACCATGCTTGTCACCCTGGGACAGACAGACGTGCCTCCCACGGAAGCATGGAGACCTGGCCGCCCCTGCACAGGGGAGCACTCGCTGACCGAAAGGCGCCCGTGCCTGTGCTGCTGACCTGTCTGTGCCCACTCGGGGGGGGGGGGGGGCAGGGGCTGGGGTGTGAACAGCAGGGGGCAGGGCCCTGGAGGGTCAGGACCTGGGAGGGTGTGGTGGGGGACCCTGGGCATGGGTGGGAAGCCACCAGAGCCCAGGGCCCACCGGGGCGGAGGCGGTACCTCTCCGTACGTGAGGGTGTTGTTGTAGGTCCTCATCTCGGGGTACACGTTCTCCAGGTACCACTTGAAGCTGCGGCACTTCAGCCTCTGGCGCAGGGCCCGCCTCTCGGACACGTCCCCGAAGTCCACCCCTGGATTCTGCCAGGCGGGGGTGGGGGGGTGGGAGGCCAGGAGGCGTGAGTGCCGGTCACATGACAGGGGAGCGCCAGGATCTGGGGGTCTGCCTCCCGGGAGCAGCCCTGCCTCTCGGGGCCTCCAGGGGCCGAACCTCCCTCATCCGGGGCAGCCTCCCACTGTCCCAGGACCCTGGAAGGCCCAGCGCAGCTGTTCCTAGTGGGAGGCCTGGCTACCCCAGTCCCAGCCGGGACAGGCCTGGCGTCTCCACCCCCGCTGGCCCCCCCGCCCTTCCGGCTGCTGATCTCAGAGCCCCTGGGAGCATCTGGGCCAGGGCCTGCGGCTGCAGCACCCTGTGGTGGGCTCTCGGGCTTGGGGTATTGATGTGCACACACGTGTACCCACAGCGCACACATACGGGCACACTTGCGCGTGTGCACACAGATGCACACAAATGCATGGGTCTGCGTGTGCCCAGGAATGTGTGTATATGCACATGGAGCATAGTGAACACAAGTGTGTGCGCGTTTGCACACCCAAGCCCACTTCCCGAAGTTCCACCCCCGGCCACAGGCTGCTGGTTTGGTGCCTCCAGTCTGTGTCCAGCTCTGGCTTCCTGCCAGCAGCGGGCAGCCACTTCACCCAGCCCCCTGTCCCCAAGTACCCCCTGAGTTGTGTGGGCTGCAGGACCCTGGACTGGGGGAGGAGGCCTGCACTCCGGAGGCAGGCGGGCCCTGCACTCCGGAGGAGGTGTGTGTGGGGGGCTCCAGGAAGGGGCTCACTGGGGAGGGACTGGTGGGCTCCTTGGTAGGTGTCCAGCCACGTGGCCGGACACTGCCAAGGCCCTCGGCACCCTCTGCCTCCGCTCCCTGAGCTGCGTGGCCCCGCGCAACTGACTGGACCTCCCTGGGCCTGCCCCCTCTGCCAGGTGGATGGCAGCCCTGCCATGTGCTCCCTGTGTTGCCACAGCGGCCGTCACATCACTGTGGCCCCGAGGCTGGACTCACTGGGAAGGGCCTCTGTGTGGAAGGGGTGGCTGTGGCCTTCCTGGGGCAGCCTGCACCCAGCAGCCAGCCTGCCACAGCCAGGGTCCGCTGGCCAGCGTGACCAGCAGAGGGTGGGAGAGGCCTCCCTGGACGGGTGCTCGCTGACCAGCTAAACGGCCATTGGACAGGGCTGTCCCTGGTGGAGGTGACCATCAGGACACTGTCCTCGCTGGGAGGTGCAGGAGGCCCTGCCTCCCAGGACCCCGTGGATACCCGCCCACCCGCCTGCCCCCGGCTCACGGTCATGGGGATGTTCCAGGCCATGTACACGTGGGACTTGAAGCTGTCCATCCAGACCTCGGCCGCCCGCAGGGCATTGCGTTTGGCGTAGTAGTCGATGTCGTTGTTGTAGGGCTTCCGGGTGCGCTCGATGTGGGCCACGCGGGAGCAGGGCAGCACCTCCATGCTGCCGCCACACTGCCACACCTGCCGGGGGCCCGCGGTCAGCGGTCCTGCCCCCCCATCCCCCTCCTGCTTCCCCCACCCCTCCACCACCACACTGCACCGCTGCCCAGGGCACCCTGAGGCCTGGCCCCTGTGGGCTTGCCTGGGGGGCCACAGCCAGGGAGAAGCCGTCCCCCGAAGCCTGGACGGAGCTGCCCCCTCTCACGCGCGTTGTAAGATACAATTGAGGGGCATTTTCCCCACACATGTTCTACCCACCCCAATGTCTCATCATAACTGTTGCGTCCCCATGTCCCTGCTCCACCCCACACAGAAACCCCGAGACTGGGCACCACTGGTCAGCAGCTCCTGTGTGGAGAGTGGGTCTTGGCACAAGGGTGGAATGCGGTCACCACAGGGCATTTCTAGGAGAGGTGACAGAGCCATGGCTCCAGACTCTGTCGATTCGGTGGGTCCCATTGCATCACAAACCTCTGATTTTCCTGCCCAGCTCTAGGTGGCCGTTCGATGCAGTTTGGGCCAATGAGGTATAAGCGAAAGTGTTATGTGGAATGGGGGAGCTTTGGGGAAAGCTGGGGCTTGTCCTAAAAAGGGACAGACTCAGCTGGCAGGGCCCTTTGCTCTTTTCCCCTTCTTTCTGCTGGGAATGTGGATGTGAGGTCTGGTGGAGTGGCAGCCATTTCGTGACCACGAGGCAACAAATACGAGGCTCAAGGCATACGCAGCAAACGTGGCCAATGGAAAGTGACAAAGGGCCTGAGTTCCCACATTGTGGAGTCGCCATGTCGTCAACCATGTGCTTCCTGAGACACCTAAACACCACCCAAGCCTCGGGTGGCAGAGCTTTCTGTTGTATTCAGACCAACCAACCGGGACCAGGAGGTGTCAGTGGAATGAACGGAAGCCCCAACAATCCTGTGTCAGGGCGTTAACCTTGTTCTCTTACAGATGAAAGTGAGGACTGAGGCGCAGAGAGGCTGGGGCGTGTTGAAGGTCACGCCACTGGCCCCTGCTGTGGCAGAAAGTCGGAACCAATGGGCAAAGCCCCTGAGGTTGCTGCTTCACCTGGAACAGTGGAGGTGACACGGAGCACAGTCACGTGGCCTCAGTGTGACCATCATACCCACCGTGTGTCTCAGCCACTGATGACCTCAGTCAGTTTGGTTCATCGCCCCCCAGAAAGAAACGGCCATCATGATGTGGGGACCTGGGGTCAGCCTGCAGGCAGCTGTTCGGAGGGGAAGGGCCCAGGCGCAGGAGACCCACGGGGGACCCCCGAAGCCAAGCCCGTCAGCCCAACAGACGTCGACCCCTCAGAGCTGGGCTGTGACCAGTGGGACCCCAGAGCAAGCTGTCTGTCCTGCCCTAACAGATGAGACCTGGTGGGTGGCAGCAGATGACTTCCTCCCTGTCGGGAGGTCAGAATGCGGGGCCACCCTCCTGCCGGCCCTGCCTGAGTGAGCCCCGAGTGCCCTCAGCTGTCATTCCAGAGCTGGTGCACCTTGCAGCCACGGTCACCACCTGGTTGTCAATCTCCGGATGAGTCGGGGAGAACCTGCAAACTGGGCGTGTGCTGCTGTTCGTGGGCTGGTCTCACGTCCCGTCACTGCTCCCGGGTCCAGCCTCTAAAGGAGATGAGGCCCAAATGCCCACGGATTTCCCACCCAAGTCAGATGTGGGCCCAGCGCCGCCTCAGCCAGTTTGGGGGACAGAAGTAGTCAGACGTCCTTGGTGACTGGCCCGGAGCCTCCACTATTTCTGTGATTTGCAGATGACAGCAGGGGATTCCAGTGACAGAAATAGTTCCTTGCACTCTGAGCTGTGATTTTTATCAGCTGTCCTGCCATCGGCCTTGCCTGTGCATGGAGAAGCGTCCAGTGTTTAAATCGGGGCCGAGTGGAGCCGTTCTCCCCAGTGTGGGTTCCGGCCAGAAGGTTTGCTGGCCGTGGCCCTGGCTGCCGGAGATAACAGTGTCTTCAGTAGCTGCCCTGACTGAGCACCTGACTTTTGCCTTTGTAACAATCCACACATCCAACTGATGAAATGGATCTCCCCCTTCCACTCCACAATCCACCCATCATCCACCATCCGCCAGGCGAGGAAAGCAGGTTGAGAGGGGACGCCAGCTCAGGGTCCGAGCCCAGGTCTCCAGACGCCGACCGGAGGCCCAGCAGGTCCAGGCTGAGGCTGATGGACACAGTGTCCCGCCCCAGAGGCTGTGTCACCTGGCGCCAACCCAAGAGGCCCCCAAAGACCATTTTCCTTTTGGAAGCACGAAATTTCCCACATGAGCAAAACCCAGGGCTTCACAACTGCTCTGGAGAAAACTGCATCACTTCCAGAGACTTCCCATCCAAACCGCTTTGTAAAAGGGATGGTGGTCCACCCCGGGCCCCACCCCCCCGGGCCATTCCGGAAACCCTGACACCAGCGGCCACAGGCAGGAGCGAGGTCTCCAGGGCAGAGCTTGGCTGGATTTCGCTTGGGAAAGGAAGTCCTGTCTCCAGTCCTCAAGGCCCCTCCCGACCTCCGACCTCCAGGTCAGGGGCTCTAGGCGCAGCCCCGCAGGGCGTCTGGTGTCTGCCGGAATTTGGGAGCCGCTGTGCTAACGGCCTCGGGCTCCCCCGCACCCTGGACTCAGCTGTCACCGGCTACATCCTCTGCTCACTAGGCGTCTCTCCACCCGGCGGCCCCCCAGAGCCTGGGCTCCAAATTTGGTGGCTTGCTCTTCACCCCGAGACTCCCCACTCGTACAGGGAGTCAGCTCGGCGTGGCCCTGGGACTCGGAATCTCCGCCGAGAGCCCCCTCCAGGCACAGCCCCCACTTTGGTCTTCCTTCCACCGTCCCCCCAGGAGGCGAGTCTGCGTTTGAGGCCATGGTTCCCGCACACCCAACCGCTGCAGCGGGAGCGGAGGACCGGGCCCGAGACAGAGGAGCAAAGAGCCCCCACTTCCCTGCAGCCCTGGGCTTTCCTCGGCGGGACGCCCACGCGCGGCTTGGTCTTGACCTCTGCGGGCTCCACGGACCCGATGCATTCTTGTTCCCTAATGGGCTCCAGGACGTCCCTCAGCAGGGACGAGCCGTCCGCATTCCTACAGTCGCAGAGAGGACACTGGCCCCGAGACCACGGAATTGCTCCTCTAATTGGGTCGCATCGATCAGGAGGGTTGTGTGGGCGTCTGCGCTAATGACACTTCAGAAGCAGCAGCGGCTTCAAGACCTGTGTGTGTGGGCGCAGAGTCCCAGGAAGGCGGGGGAGAAGCACGCGGAAGGGAGGGGGGCCTGGCCGCTCCCCAGGGGACACCAGCTGGGGTGGGGGCAGGGGCCTGGCAGCGACAGGCGTCAGCAAGGCAGGTGGGGGTGGCTCTGGGGCTTGGAAAATGCTTGGCCCCGGTTTCCAAGCTCCCTGGGAGCACCGGGCCCCAAGGTGCCCACGGACAGTCTCTTTCTGCTGTCCCTCAGAATAGGGCTGGCTGGTCCCCTCAGCTGGAGTTCAAGGTCAGACAGGCCTTCTGCATATAAGCACACGCCAGGCTCCCGGGGGCTGGTGTGCTGACACCAGCTTTCCTGATTTGTGTCCACATCCGTGCTGCTCACGCCCAGGCCTAATTATACCTTCACCTGGGCCCGCACCTGCACCTGTGCCCCCACCTGCGCCCACACCGCCGCAGTCAGCAGACATCTCTGAAGGTCTGAAGAGGGGGCATCTGGCAAGAAGACCAGGCTCTGTGACCATGGGGTGACCCCTGGCCTTGGTCCCCACTGGGCCAGGTGGGGTCTGGGCCTGATGCCAGCATTTGGGGGACTCTGCCGGATCCAGGTCTCAATCCCATTTCTAGCACAGATGCCTGAGGGCTGACTCTCAGTGTGCGCTGTAGAATCGAACCCCTTTGGAGAATGACACACAGCAGCGAACAACCCTACGCTGCTTCCAAGGACCTGAGATTCGGCCTAAGTGTCATGTATCAGACGCAAGAGAATTTTTTATGCACTTGGGGGAGTTTCTGCTGTGATATCGGACAACGAAAGTGCTTGAAGAGAAAAGGAAATACATTACATTTATAAACGTCGTTTTAAAAGGTTCAAGGGAATTTAACTACCGGCAGAAATGGAACTGATTGTTTAGTGGCAGTTAGTCTGTTCAGCCTGAGTTAATCAAACATTAATCAAAGAAAAGGGGGGTGGTGGTGAGTGTTATTGTATTAGATTTGTAACCATAATGCCACGATCTCGGGTTAACGTCAAAGCTTAAAGCAAACAGGATTGGAAATGTGCCACTTCCATACGCTGTATACAAATGTTTAAAAATTGGCCTTAATCCGTTCTGTGAGTAAAGGCCCACAGGCAAAAATCAAAACAAACGAAACCCCAGAACGTACGCACACCAACCGGAGCTCACCGCGCCTCACCCGGGGCAGCCCACCACGGCCCCTCCTCACCCCACCTGGCAGCCAACACCTCCCTCAAAACGCCTCGAGATGCACGCGGGGTCTGGCCGTCCCCGCAGGCTGCCCTCTGACCCCCAGCCAAGAATCACAGAGGCCAGAGGGGGCCCTGCTTCAGTCCCGCCTGCCTCCCACCCTGCCCTACAGGCCTCCGTGGTGATGGGCACACAGGCGGCCCTGCCTCAGGGCCTTTGCACAGTGCCCGGGACACCCCTGCTCCCTCCCCTGCTCCCCCTCGGCACCTGGGCCTCTTCAGGGGACGCCTTCCTGGACAGCTATCTTTGAATTGCGTGCAGGCCCCTTCCCGTGCTCCCAGCCTCCTCCTGCTGCTTCCGCCCTTCCTCTGGTCCCTCCATCCTGCTTCTGCTTCGTTCCTGCCCAGGCCTGGCACACCTCAGCTCCCTACGGCAAACTTGGGCTCGGGGAAGGGGCTGCAGAGGGTCTCGGCCCCGCTCTGGCTGGAAGCCTGGTCCCTGAGCGCTGAAGATCGCAAAAGCCACCTGCCACCAGGCACCAGGCTGGGGTTCTGGGCTGTCCTGCTCCCATGCCCTGTCCAGGGAGCGCTGTCCCCGGGGACCCATACCCTGAGGCCCCACACGATACAGCCTGCTCCCAGTGGGGCTGCCACTGGACCGTTAGGGCACCCCAGAGAATGAGCCTCTCCTGCCAGGGTCTCTGATTAGCAACCAAGACTCTTCCAGAACCTTCTGTCAGTTCTCCAAGCAGCCAGGGGAAGGAGGCGATGGGGGGGGGGGGAGTTCCCCACCCACAGCAGCCTGAACTCAAGTGCGATCCAGCAAAGGCCAAGTGCTCGAATAATCAAAACACACAGAAAATACGGTGAGTCATGGTATTCAGCAAACTCCAGTCCCAGTGCCTTCGGCTGCTTTCTCTGACTCTCAGCCTGGGCCTCGCGTCCCACGGGCGGAACAAACCGCTCGGGCCACAGCCGACCCCAGGGCAGCCCCACAGCGCCCTCCACGGGCCACTCACCCTCATGCCGAGCTCGATGTTTTCGCCTCCGTACACCTCCATGCCCGGGTCCAGGAGACCGATGTCCCCGAAGTACTCTCGGTCCACCACGAACGAGCAGCCGATCATGGCGGGGGTCCTGGGGGAAGCAGACAGTGGCACGAATAGATGGGGGGGCGGCGTGCCGGGGGGCAAGCACAGCCCAGGCCAGCACCTGGTGGGCCCCAGGGGCCCACAGGGCGCCGGACCTCCCCTCCTGGGCCGCAGGCACTGCCTCCGGGCCTCGGTATCTGGTCGGCTCCGCGCATCGGGAGTCTGGGCTGAGATGGGCAGCTGGGAAGCGGCGTCAGCGGCACGTCCCTGCCCACCACGCACCGCGCAGTCGGACAGCGCCAGTGTCCTCGCTCCCATTATTCCATTTACATCGACGCAGTTGAACGTGTCGTCCAGTCTGTCCTGAGCAACCGTATCTGCGAAGTCGCGCGTCGATGTGCCGGTTGCAGTGTCCCCCAGGACGCATGACCAGTCGGCCGGTGCCCTGCGTCCCCTCCCGGGTGGTGGTCTTACGGAGCAATGCAGGTGGGCCGGGCGTGCATCGGGCAGCGCTGCTCGGCTTCGCTGCGACTGGTATTGCACGACCTTCCGGAAAAATCTCTCTCCGGCAAGAAATAGGCGAGTCCGTGTGTTCTGGGCAGGCAGGATCTCCCAAGCTTTTGATGGAAGATTTCGCCTCCAAACACAGCGAAGCCCCCTGCAGGCTGAGGGTGGCGCTTGCTCTCACTTCTGAGGGCGGGTGCAGCCCCTCTGGTCCCCCAAGGTGCCGGAGGCTGAGGCGCCGCCTTCTCTGCTCCTGCCCGCCCCCAGCTCCCGGGGAAATTAAATTCCTCTGCAGTGAAATCAACAGAGAAAGATCGGCCTCCCAGAACCCAAGATAAAAGCAGCATTCCACCCCCGCTGGGAAGTCAGAGGTCAGCGCTGGTCAGTTTTCCAGGAAAACAGGGGTTGAACAGCCGCCGCCCTTTTCTTCCCACAAAAGTCCGATCTGCTCTGTCTCCGGGTTCGGGCTGCCAGTGCCCCAGCCGCTGCTGTGTGATCCCACCGGGAAGCACGGGGCTGGGTGAGCTGCAGCCCACGGTCACCGGTGCTTATTTCTCCCGTCGCCTTAACTGAGAAAACGTTCCCGGGTGATCTCTGGTGGGCTGAGCTGCGAATTCACCGCCCAGCCTGTGATCACCGGCAACGTTTGTGTTTTCATTTTTGCTGTGCGTTCCAAAGTGAACTCCAACGAGTCAGCAGGCGCTGAATTTATTTGCATAAGAAACCCTGCGGGCTGCAGGCTCAGCTCCAGGGGAGACGTGCTGCCCGTGCTGAGGGGCTTCCTCGCCTCCGCTGACGTGCAGCCGCTCACAGGAGAGGTGCGGGTGTGCGTGTGCACGTGTGCGCACAGGAGTCGGGGTGTGTGCACGAGTGTAGTGAATGGCAAAAGCCTTCCTAAGCTGGCCCTTCAAACGTCAGCCCCGCCCCTCACGGCCAGCATGGCTGCTCCGTGTCCCTCAGGACGAGGGCAGCAGTGTCTCCTGCCAGGCCCCAGGGAGCTCAGTTGTCCCAGAGCACGACCGCCTGGTGCCCCTGTGGGCTTCCCAGGGGCTCGGCGCCCAGGGGAGGGGCTGCAAACCACGGAGGCCGAGTCCGTGGTGGAACCGGACCACAGAGCCGCAGCCGAGTGTCGGAAGGCGGACAGGCAAGGGCTGTGGCTGTGGGTGACAGGGACCGGAGGAGTGACAGCGACGGTGGCCAAGCAGAGACCACACGCTGCCTGGACTGGGACCACTGCCCAGCTCCACCCAGCCCCACCTTGTGGGAACCTGGGCCTTTCCATTTTTCAAAAGATGCTGGACTTGGGTATTTTTATCATAAGAGTCTTTCCATTTTCATGTCTGGGAAGGTGTCTCAGAACAAGTGCTTCTCGGGAAGGAGTCCAGTGGAGGGTGGGCAGGGCCTGCTGCGCGGTGCCTGCCGAGGTCCCGGCCCCGGCGACGGCGCTGCCGCCTCCCCCGGGCTGCGTCTGTCTGTCTCCGTCTCCCGGTGCCTCTGTCCCTCTCCACTCTCGGACACTCTTCGCTCCTGCGTCTCTCTGTTCGTCTGTCCCCTGTCACCTGTCTTGCTCCCTCTCACTTTCTCGCTGGTGTCGGCCCTGTTCTCCCCTCTCTGTGTGTTTCTCATCCCCCGGCTCTTTCTGTCTGTCTGTCTGTCTGTCTCTCTGTCCTCTCCCCACCGGACCTTGTCGTTACCCAGGTCACAAACCAGAGCCAGCCCCCCAGTTCCCCGTCCCCACCCCCCACCTGGCTGCACCTGCGGATTCCAGGTCCCCGCCGGCGCCAGGCTTTCTGCACGGAGCATCCCCCCACCCCCACCCCCACCCCATGCTGCCTCCCCCCACAGCGGCCCACCTGATGGGCGCGGCCTCGTCGCCGCGGTCCAGCCAGTCCTGGGGCGGGACGATGTACATGCACCAGAGCCCCCAGTTGTAGCCGTGGGCCGCGCTGGCGTACTGCTGCACCTCGAACGTGTCGAACTTGATGTTGTCGATGGCGGGCAGCACGATGCGCCGGCGGTCCTCCCGGATCCGTGTGAGGGCGGGCTCGGCCCTGTGGGGGGGATGCACCTCAGGAGGAGCCACGCACCCCAGCAGGGAGCCCAGAGCCAGGCGGCCACAGGGACGTCTCCCGCTGGGAGCTTCAGGGTCGTCGGGCACAGAGCCCCCCTCGCTGGAGGTCCCACCGGCCTGGGGCAGCCGGGGCTCTCAAAGCCGAGAGGGCCACACCTGTGGCCTCTCCCCAGGGCCGGCCCAGCCCCACGCTCCTGCAAAGGCGGCTCCATCAGGAGCAGCCACTGGAGGGACAGCTGGGGGTTGCAGTGCGGGGCTCGGCTCAGCTGGGCAGCTGGGTGGGGACCTTCCCTCCTTCTGTCTGTGCCCAGTGTTCACCTGCCTTTCAGCTCCGAGAGCTGGATTGACTAGTCAGTGTCAGCAACGTGCGCAGAGAGAAAGTGCTCTCCGGAAACGCCAGGTCTGCTAGTGCGCAGGAGCCTGGGGGAGGCCGCCCTGGCAGGGGAGGGCTGTTTGCAGGCGGAGAACTGGGTTTTCAGTGGCACAGACTGAAGTTGCACCGGCTTCAAACCGCGCTTTGCCGGGACAGACTGGCGGCACTCCAAAACAACCCCCGAGTGCTGGGCATTCAACAACTACCAGAGGCACCGGAAGGTCCCAGGCACACTGTGTGGTCCTCGGGCACCCTGTTGGGGGCAGACAGTACGGTGGAAGGTGACAGATGTCACAGGACCAACAGCTGTCTCAGGAGGTGGCAGAGAGACAGAAATGGAGGGCAGAGGGGACCCCACCTGGGTCAGGCACGTGCTGGGGCAGAACCAGCCCTCAGAACCGGCTCCTGGTCTAGGGGGCTGGGGTGCCCAGGAGAGCGGAGGATCGGGGCCTGGGGGGCCGCGCCCCAGCGCCCACCTGCACCCAGGCTGCAGCCAGGCCGCCCGCTCCCACCCTCACCAGCCGGTGCTGAACTCCACGTGGGCGTCGAAGAAGCCGACGACGGGGGCCGTGGCCACCTTCCAGCCCTGCAGCCGCGCCCGGATCAGGCCCTCGCGCCTGCTGTTGCGGACGATCTTCACCAGGCCCGGGTACCTCTTGTGGACGTACTGGTCCAGGTTGAACTTGAGCTCCACTGTGCGGGGCACACAGAGACAGCTCAGCACCTCCACTCCAGGTGGGGCCCAAAGTCACGAGGCGCAAGGTCCATCTGGACGGGTTGGGGCGCTGTGTGCCTCGCCCCACATTCCGTAAGCGTGTGGGGGACCCACCACGGCTGGACGTGGTTCAAGGTGCTGGGGAGACCACGCAGGGGCAGACCCACCCCCGACCCCCGTGAAGCTGGCGTATGGGGGGACGGACAAGAACAGAGAAGACGACTCAGGCAGAGATGCATTGTGGAGGCAGGAGGGATGGGACTGGAGTATTCAGCCTCCACAGGGACTGACGTCCCTGCACATGGGCCCTCCACACAGGGGAATATTGTTCAGCCTTGAAAAGGGAATTTCTGCCCTGGCTGGTGTGGCTCAGTGGACTGAGCACCAGCCTGCGAACCAAAAGGCCGCCGGTGTGATTCCCGGTCAGGGCACGTGCCTGGGTTTTGGTCCCCAGTAGGGGGCGCACGAGAGGCAACCACACATGGATGTTTCCCTCTTTCTCCCTTCCTTCCCCTTTGTCTAAAATAAATAAGTAAAATCAAGAAAGAGAGAAAGAAGTTCTGACACCGGCTACAGCGTGGAGGGGCCTTGGGAACACTGTGCTCAGTGACATAAGCCAGACTCCACCTCCATGAGAGACAGGAAAGGCCAAGTTCAGAGACAGACACAGAGGGTGGAGCCGGGGCCGGGCTGGGGGAGGGGTGTTAGGGCCTCAGGGGGACAGAGCGCAGTTTGGAAAGACGGAAAGTTCTGGAGACGGGCGGCTGCCTTTGGCCGCTGCCTGGGCACGGTGACGCGCTCCCTGTCCCCAGGTGCCACGCTGGCCGCTCACCATTGTCACTGTTGTCGTCCACCAGGATGACCTCCTTGAGGAGCGGGGAGGGCGTGTGGTTGACCACGCTGTGGACGGAGCGCAGGATGACGGACAGCGCCTCGTTGACGAAGATGAAGACCACAGACATCTGGGGCAGGTCGTCCGAGTAGGTCACCTGTCTGCACCTGCGGGGGCGGGCGCGGGGTGGCATCAGCGCTCTCACTGGCGGCGGCCCTGCAGGAGGCCGGCACAGCTGACCTCGGAACCGTAAATCCCAGTTCCAATGACAGAGAGCGGCAATGTCACAAACGGAAGACGGCCAGACCCAGGGAGTTGGTGCGGTCGCAGTGGCCTCAGAGCTCCGGGTGTCCAGGCCCTGAGCCCCAGCCGCTCCCTCCCCGCTGAAAGGCGTCCGCGCCCCATTCGGACCACACCAGACACAGGAGAGGTGCAACGGCACAGTGATCCCCGAGCCAGGGTCCAGCAGAGGGGACGGGGGTGGGGACCCAGCCCGGAGCCCACGTCAGCTCTGTCCACACCCGAGACAGGCAGCACCGTGGGCCCACAAGCGGCAGGCGTGGTTCCCGGGTGATGGGCTGCCGGAGCAGATGTCGAGGCAGCTACCGGCCCAGACTGTCATCTGCAAGGGAAGCCTCGCCGTTCGGAACCCAAAGTACCAATGGGCTGGGCCATGGCTGAGAACCGGGAGGACAGGATGGCCCCCACCCTCCGCTGAAGCTGGAGCCCGGCAGTGGCTGGCTGCCCGGCACTGCCCTGCTGACCTGGGCCACAGGCCTCAGCCCAGGGCCCTTGTCACTCAGACAGAGGCTTTCTGACGAGAAGTCTTCACTCTATTTTTCTGTCACGGAAAAGGGCTGCGATGCACAGTTTTCGTGAACTTGCAAAGTGCATAAAACCGGCCTCGGGGACGAGGTGTGGGTGGGGCCTGCGTGGGGTCCCGTGCCTCCTCTCACGGAGCTCAGGGTCCCCGCACTGCGTGGTCTCTGCCCCCCAGGTCGTGAGCCCCAGGAGCCGGCCCCTGGCTGCCTCAGCCCAGGACTGTGCACAGCAGAGCCGCACAGAGATGAAGATGCAAACGGAGCCGGGGCTGCTGCCCCAGGGGAAGCGCCGGGCTCCTCTTCTGCCTCAACCTTCCGGGGTCAGAACAGGACAGAGTCACCTCTGGACGGGCCAGAAGCAACACTGTGTCCCCAAGGGCTGTTTGCAAAGACACAGGAAAGCAGATGCTGAAACCATGGAGCAGTCGATACCAGACTGAAATTAGCCTCAGTGTCACTGTGTCAGCTTCCTGCCTTGGGCGTCACTGTCCCCTTCCCGTCTCAGAGACACCGCGGCCCTGGGCTGTCCCCTGGTCAGAAAGCTGAGTGGGCTTCTGCCCAATATCCCTCAGACAGACACTCTGCCTCCGCGGCGACCTGTGACCCCCGGGTTGGCAACACTGCACCTCAGCTGCTCAGAGTGGACAAGAGAAAGGACCCACATGGGCCCTGACGGCTGACTCAGAGGTTGTCCCCCGGCCCCCGGCTGGGACTCCCTGAAGCCAGGGTCAGAGGCACTGACTGGGACATGACCTGCTAGTGGCCTGGTGACCGGAAAGGCGCATTTCTCAAGTCTGGCCGATTCCGGCTCTCTGGGGAGCGTGCAGACCCCCACAGCGCTGGACGCCCCGGGTGCCGCTCACATGTGGCCGAGTCGGTGCACTCGCACCAGGCCCCGGGCTGGAGGGCACTGGGCTCCACGCCCCAGGGGTCCAGGAGGACCTGCAGACCCGCAGGGCCCGGGGGCAGCAGCCACCTCTGAGGTCCCAGGGGGCGCGTGGCAGGCAGAGTCTGGCTGGCCTCACGGGAAACCCGGCCACGGCAGCGACACAGATGGAAATTGATGGGGCTGCCCTTGGGGCCGCTGGGGCCGCAAGCACAGTGCGGGAGGGATGGCGTGCCAGCCTCCCTCCCCGGGGACCGCGAGCGTCGCCTCGTGAACCGAGTACATCCATCTCCTGCCGCAGACGCAGGGCTGGGGTTCAGCGTGGCCGGGAAGCCGCGTCATGGAGCCCGTGACCAGTGTTTCTGGGAAGAGCTGTGGGAGGTTCTCGGAAGCACATCACTGGGATTCGTCTGCCTTTGACAGCCTCCAGGAGACCTTCCCCGTGGTGGCTTCTGCCTGGTGGGGGACACGATCTGGGTGGGCCTTCCTGCTGGCCGGGACTACTGCAGGGCCCGAGGCTGGGTCCCGTGGGCTCGGAGGCACAGCGGCCCCCACGGAAACTGTCTTTCTGAGGCTGAGTCGGTCGGTCCGTCCTGTCCAGCTTCCATCAGCCTCCAAGCCTGCAGCAGGGTGAGCCACTGCAGCCTGCTCCCGGGAGAGAGAGCAGGGGGGAGGCTGCTGGCCTCGGCGACCGTCCCTTGGGGAACTGTGTTCCCCAAGATCCTGCATGCACCTCCTTCAGTGGCACAGAACGATGGCTCAGGAGCTGGTGGGAAGGCAGGGGTCCCCTGACGAGGAGAAAGGAGGTACCATTGCCCACGGGACAAGCCACACGACACGGCTCACTTCCACTTGGGCCCCGAGTCTTCCCTGCGCGCTGTCCCGGACGCCTGCCCCGCTCCCGCACAGGGGCAGCGCAGAGCAGGCCCCAGGCCGGCCGACAGCCAGGACGGGTCCTCCCGCTCACCGTCCACTCAGCCTGCACGTGTCAGAGCTGACCGCCCGCTGCTCGCAGCTCACACAGTTAACGCCGTGCACGGGGATGTCACAGACGTGGCGGCGAGGACCTGACTGCCCTGGAATGCACGGGGGCGGGGGGAGGGGGGCTCGGATAAGGCCGCTCACTTTTATGATCCTGTTTAATGTGGATTTGCCGGTTTTCCTTTCATGATCCCCTGGGCCCAGCTCAGTAATCAAGATCTATGTTATGTGCTTTGTAGCATAATTAAAGCCACTGCTTAATTGGAAACTGTCCACCTCCGGAGAGAGGGAAATCAATAGTGTGTTAATGGGAGAAAGCAGTGAGTGCTCTCGGTAGCCATCGAGGCAGGGACACACGCACTGACACGCAGGCACATGTGCATGTGCACATGGCTGCATGTGCACACACAGGCACGTGAAGGAGTGTGGACATGCACGCACATGTGGGGCACACATGTGTGCACGTGTGCCCACACTCACCTGCGCATGTGTGCAGGCACATGTGTGAACATGTACATGTGTTAGCACGTGCACTCACAGGCACAACACACGCACATGAACAGACATACACCCATGCACCTGCTCCCTGGCGTCCAGTGTGAGTCTCTGACACCAGCATGTGCAGAGCCCACCGGCAGCGCGGTTGCTGATGGTGGGCAGACTCTGCAGGGACTACGGCGGGTGGGGGTCCCGGTCTGAACGAGACCGGTCGGCCCAGGCTGAGCGCCGTCTGTCTATCTGCTGCCCTGGGAGACGTACCCTCCCCCGCCCAGCCCTGTGGGACGACGGGCATCTGCCCTCTCCACACACCTGCAGATGCCCAGGTCCTGGCCCCACAGGCCTTTCCTGCCTCGGTTTCCCGTTGGCGAAGTGGGGACATCGGTCCTTCACGCCTTTCTTGGGTTGAGTGAGTGCGGGCCTGAGGGGCAGGTGGCCCGCCGCAGCACTGTGCCTGAACTGAGCGCTGGGCAGCGGGGGGTGCTGCCCACCCGCGTCTCTTTCCTCCCAGAATGTGTCCCAAAGCTGCCACCGCACCTGGTGATGCCCACGAGGCCGCCCACTGAGCATGGAGGGGAGCTGGCTGAGCTCCGGGGTCTCCGGACAAGCCTGGCAGGGTGACAGGGGCTGGGGGAGGCCTCATTGCACCGTGTGCATGCACGTGTGTGCATGCAGGCATACGCCCGTGTGTGCTGGGGTTGTCCCGTGCACGCCTCTGGCACCAGAGCCCCCTCGCTGGTCTTTGGAAGGAGACGGGACACGAACCCACACCAACAGTTAAGACCCACGCTCCCGATTCCGGGCGGCAGGGGGCGCCCGCACCTCACAGCTGCGCGCGCACCCGCTTTGCGTGCGTTGGGCGCCGTGCGGACGGACGCCGGAACCTCACCTGCCGCCTCCTCTGTGTGGTCAGAGGCCACTGCGCTGGACCTCGCAGCCGGTCCAGTCGCCGGGCCCTGCAGTGGCCGCCGGCCGAGAGCCCAGAACCCGGGGCAGGCACCGGTCCATGCGACGGTGTGTGTCCGAGCTCACGGGGGACCCTGAGGGGCGGGGGGGCCCCGTGGGGGTCACTACTCACTTTTTGGGCCTGTAGTCGGGGATGGCCCTGTCCAGGGAGATGCGGTCACTGAGCTGCGCGTTGTAGCCGTACTCCTCGTAGTCGCCCGCGGCCTCCTGGCCATCGTCCCGCAGAGCGGCCGCCACGCCACCTTGGCCCAGGCCCCCTGGGCCCTCCACCAGACCCATGGGCTTGGCGAGGCCTGGCGGGAGCAGGAAAGAGGGAGTCAGGCAGGCCCAGGCCTTCTGCGGAGCGGGGGTGGGGGAGCTCCTTGGGCGCTGGGCCAGGGTGAGGAGTGCACAGCAGATTTCAGGGCGGGGGCACAGCAGTTGTGGACATGCCTCATTTTACAAGTCTGTCCAGGCCCACAGAAGGGACACCCAAGAGGGAGCCCCAGTGTCAACTGAGGACCGGGGCAATGAGGAGCAGTCGAACAACAGGGGGTCCGTGGGGGCAGGGGGCTACCCTGGAGCTCTCTGCACGTCCACTCACTGTTCCTGCAAACCTAAAACTGCCCCAAAGAGTGAAGTCTATCGACTTTTTAAAATATAAGGTGAATGTGAATTAACATTGAAAACGCAAAGCAGGAATTGCAGACCCACTGCCCGAGGGGACCACCTTCCAGCTTTGTCATCTGAGTGCCCTGCACACAGGCAGGTGATTCCAGGCGAAACACACGGAGCCCCTGGGGGCTGCACGGGTCCCAGGGCCAGAAACGCCCTGTGGACCGAGGCATCGCCATCCGGCACGGCTCTCTGCGATGGACGGTGCTGACCAGGGGGTCCGGCCACCACGGTGACCTCCAGGAAAGGAGCCCTTGAACTTCCCGGAGACCAAGGTGAGTGCGTGTGTGAGGACTTGAGAGGGCCGGCCGCGCGTGTTCTGGAATATTCTATGTGGTCACTTGTGCCGGGAGAGGAACATGGCTCAGTGCCATTGTTCTCAGAGGGAGCCAGGGACAGAGTTGTGCCACCTGGCCAGGATGTCCCCTCGCTCTGCAGGAGGGACGACTCCGAGCACCTCGGCTTTGGAGGGGGGCGGGGGGAGCAGTGGTTTCTAACCCAGGAAGTGGCCGCGGAGGTGCTGTCCTCGGGCTGCACCGTGGAGAGAGAGGGATCCATCCTCCTCCGGCCCAGGGAGTGTGAACTCTGGGAAACACCTGCGTCCATGTCACAGGCACCCCCACTGGGGACACTTCTACGCCTTGGGTTTGTGAACGAGGGAACCGGGGTGCTGGACTTTGACCGTCCTTCCAGCACCTGGCCAGTGGCCAAACCCCGGGACGGCCACCCCGTGCAGGGCCAGCAGGCTGCACCCCACACCCCCAAACCTCCTTCCCACTTCTCTGCCTGTCTCCGCTCTCCCGTCCCCTGCGCACCCAACCACACCAGGGGCCGGCACCCCCAATTCCACTGAGTTTTGCTCCGATAAACTCTTAAAACTGTTCCTATGCCTCAGTTTATCCTTGTTTTTTTAGCCTTTTATTTTTTATTTTTTTAAGATTATTTATCAATTTATTTTATTTTTTTAATTTATTTTTTATTGATTATGCTGTTACAGTTGTTCTATTCTCCCCTTCATTCCCCTCCACTCTACCCGCCTGTAATTTATGACCATGTGTCTCAAGTTCTTTAGATTCTATTTTTCCCATACTATTCTTGCCCCCCAATCTATTTTCTATCTACTGTTTATGCTATTTATTTTCTGTACCTTCTCCCCCCTTCTCCTCCTCCCACTCCCTTGTTGCTAACCCTCCTTGAGATCTTCATTTCTGTTTTTGTTTTAGGTGTGGTTGTTAATAACTGTGAGTTTGTTGTCCTTTCACTGTTCATGTTTCTTTAACTTCTTTTACTTAGATAAGTCCCTTTTGATGATGAACTCCTTGAATTTGATCTTATCTGAGAAGCACTTTATCTGCCCTTCCATTCTAAATGAAAGCTTTGCTGGATAGATCAATCTTGGATGTAGGTCTTTGGATTTCATGCCTTGGAATACCTCTTTCCAGCCCCTTCTTGCCTGTAAGGTCTCTTTTGAGAAATCCGCTGACAGTCTGGTGGGGACTCCTCTGTAGGTAGCTGTCCCCTTATCTCTTGCTGCTTCTAGGATTCTCTCCTTCATTTTAATCTTGGCTAATGTAATGATGATGTGCCTTGGTGTGTTTCTTCTTGGGTCCAACTTCTTTGGGACTCTCTGAGCTTTCTGGATTTCCTGGAAGTCTATTTCCTTTGCCAGATTGGGGAAGTTCTCCTTTATTATTTGTTCAAATACGTTTTCCACTGGTGGCTGTTCCTTTCCCCCTTCTGGTACCCCTATAATTCGGATGTTGGAGCGTTTAAAGATGTCCTGGAGGTTCCTAAGCCTCTCCTCATTTTTCGAATTCTTGCTTCTTCACTCTTTTCTGTTTGGCCATTATTTGCTTCCTTCTGGTCCACTCCATTGATTTGAGTCCCAGTTTCCTTTTCATTGCTATTGGTTTCCTGTGCAATTCCATTCATTTCAATTAGTTTTGCCCTCATATGTTTGTCTAATTTGTGGCTATAATCAACCAGTTCTGTGAGTATCCTGATCACCAGTGTTTTAAACTGTGCGTCTGAGAGTTTTGCTATTTCTTCATGGCTTAGATTTATAGGCTCTAGGGCTTTGAGATCTTCTTGCGCCATTTTTGGTCTGTTGGCACCCCTTAAGTATGAGTAGCAGAGCCTTGGACTCCCAGGTCACTGGGTTGTGACGCTGTATGTGGGGGCGTGGTCAGAGCGGGGAAGTGGCGGCCCCCTCTGCTGTTTCTCACAGCTGGGTGAGGAGCAGAGTCTTAGGTTGTTCACTGGGGTGGGGCCACTTAGGTCGCTGAGTTATGACGCTGTATGGGGAGGCGGGGTTAGAGCGGGGAAATGGTGGCGTCCTCCACCGCTGCTTGCCGCTGGGCCTGCTGGCTCTCGTCCAATCGCTCACTCCCTCGCTCGTCTATCCACACACGAATGCGCGACCGCAGTCAACCCGCAGCCCTGCTCCCTCGCTCTTTCCCCGAGATTGCTCGCTGAGTTGCCCACCAGGTCCAACCCTGCGCCTGGATTCTGCGCGCCTGAGTCCGTCTGACCGAGTTTTCCTGTGCTATCCCGCTCTGCCAGCTGCTGGTTTCGCCCCTCTTACCGGTCAAGCTGAAGAATTTGTTGGTATCAGACTTCTGAAAAGTTCAATTTTCTGTGTTCTGGCTGTGTTTTCTGTTGCTAATATTTAGTTGTCTCTAAACTTGGTTGTGTGAGGAAGCACGGCGTCTCCACCTATGCCTCCATCTTGGCGGAAGTCAGTTTATCCTTCTTTTTAAAGATTTTATTTATTTATGTTTAGAGGGGAAGGGAAGGAGAGAGGGAGAGAAACATCAATGTGTGGTTGCCTCTCGTGCGTCCCCTGCTGGGAACTGGCTTGCACCCCAGGCATGTGCCCTGACTGGGAATTGAATCGTGATCTGAGATCCTCTGGTTTGCAGGCCCGCGCTCAATCCACTGAGCCACGCCAGCCAGGGCTTCAGAATGTTCCACTTTAAACAGGCAAGCACAGAGCTGGGGTTTGCATGGGACTGAAGGATGCGAGCCCAGGCGGAGCTGGAAACCCACTGGGCTCGCAAACCGCTCCCGGTCCCGGTTCAGTGCTGTGTGGCGTCCTGATCTTGCTGCGAGGTCTGCACCGCAGGAGCGGCTCAGCTTGGACTCGGCTGTCAGCCGCTGCCCAGGGCGCAACCTGGAGACACAGCGTCTCCACTCCGGCCACCAGGGCCTGACCAGGGGACAGCTCTGTCACTGGGAGCCCTGCATGGGCCCCAACCCCACATCGACAGCTCCCGGCAGAGTCAGCGTTTCCCGAGCTGTCGCCCCCGCGAGCCTTGCTCCCGGGGGACCCTGTTTTCCTGGGTTTAGTTCCTTTGTTTTGTCCACTCGCATCTGAATGTCATGCTCAGGGTCTGGAGGTGCTTTGTCAGTGGAGCTGGTTCCTGGGGCTTCCGGCCACCCCCGTGGAGGGGGGGCTTCTGTCTCAACTTGGCCCACACCCCCCCCCCCCCCCGCCGCCCACTCCTGCCCCGGCGGCTTCTCCTCTCTGCTGGTATTTTTGGTGATCCCGGTGGGCACCCCTGTGACCTGGAAAAGCTCTATTTCTGGAAGTATCGACTTCAGCCACGGCCTCCAGCTCCCAGGTTTGAGGAGAAATTAGCATGTTCCCCGAGTTACTGCTCGAGTGTGAGGTTCCGGCTCCACACATTCTCCCCTCGACCTCCCTCCCTCCCTGTCCCTCCGAACCGAGAGGAAGAGGCTGGGGTGGGCCTGCCCCGCAGGCCTCTCGGAAGGCGCTGCACTGGACGCTTAGAAGTTGGTGCAGGGGGTCGACCTCATCCTCAGTGCTCCCTCCACCACAAAGGACTAACAAAACTATAAAATGCTGAACTGCAAAACGAAGAAAAATAAGAAAAGTGGGGGAAAGACGCTCGAAGGGTGCCCTCTGCATCCCCCGCTCTCTCGTCCCTGGGGCCCCACAGAACACCAGCCTCTGCCCGTGACCACGGCCTGCCCGTGCGGTGTCTGCACCGTGAGGACTGAGGCCACACCCAGGCCTTGAGCCGCTCAGGGGTGGATTTTCCAGCGCCGAGGCCCCAGGTCCATCGCTCTTCCCCACGCTGTGCTCACTCCCCAGAACCCCGGCCGTTTCGCTTCCCTGTAGGTTCGGACCCTGACCTTCTGCGTAGCCTTCCGAGGGGCACACTGGTGGGTGCGACTGGTGGCAGACGGGTGGGGGTGGGGGTCCTCACCCAGTGGCAGGGTCCATATCAGGAGGGAGCTTTTGGGGAAACAAACTCTGGAGAAGCCTTGTGAAGTGGGAGGCAGAGATGGGAGGGACGCAGGCTGGCCCGGACGCCTGGGGCCGCCAGACGTAGAGGGAGTGGGTGTCCCTGGTTTCTGCCGCAGGGCGGCGGTGGCGCTTCCCTAGCCTGGGCCGGGGGACCAGCATAGACAGCCTGCCCCAGCGGATCCTGAGAGCGAGCGCTGACCGGGTGCTTTCCCGTTTGAAGCCCTGCCCCCCCCCCACCTTTAGTCCGTGAATGAGCCCCGACTGTGAGAGTGATGGGGAATCTGCATGTGTTAGCTCAGCCCCAGGGATGTCTGACACTTTTCCCACGCGCCAGATGAAAGGACAAACAAAGACAGCATGTTCTGG